CATATCTCCGCGATGCAGCGTGTAAGGGGTGCGAACGACGGGGCGCGAAGGCGGAGATGGGGAGAATGGAGGAGGAGGAGGAGGGACAAAGCGAATGGACGCGCGAAACGGCGTTATACGAATGGCGAGCGATCGACCTCGTGGATCGTGAAAAGGCGCACGACCCGTAATGCGAGTCGGAAAGAGGGGGGGAGGGGGAGGAAGGGGGAAGGGGGTTCACAGGGGACAGAGGAAGGAGGTGGAGGTGAAAGAGACGAGGAAAGGGCGGAGGGGGACGGAGAAGACTCACTCAGCCCGGTCCCGCTGGCTGGTTACCTGTACGTCGCGTGTTTGCCTACCCGCGTCACGATCAGGATCCTATTTGCATAGCGTCGATGAAGCTGCCACCGTCCTGCGTCGCCCGCGAGTCCTTCTCTTCCCGGAGGACTCGCGTCAGCGAGTGGGTGTACGCCGGCCGTTGTGCAAGTCGTAAGGTAATCCCGGGACCGGATGTGTCGGGGAATTTTTTTTAATAGTCACGCTGATTACGTACTTGACACTTGAACGCATCCCCCGAGTATATCCATAGATACCTGGAAACAAGGGAAATAAAACTTCGGGACGGGAGTTCCCCTCGCGGAAATCGTTACGTCAACCGGGAGATTACATTACCGGGATGGGAGTTCCATCGATCCGGACGTATTTAGCGATCGATCGGGAAGACGGCATTTCTCGAAATTTCTCGAAATTTCCGTTTATTAGCTCGCTCCTCGAACGGGCAGGCCCGAGGCCGACGTCGACCGTCTGACTGAGAGAGAGGGACGGAAGGAAGGGTTGGAAACGGCAATAATTAATGTCCCGCGTACCTACTTATTACTCTAACGAGCGAATGCTTTTGCATCGCGCGGCTTTCCCGGCACGCGTGTGCCCTCGGTCACGGAACGCGCGATGATTTACCGGCGCATCACGTGCACCAGCGCGACTCCTCAAGAGGTACGTCCGACTTGCGCGTCTCCGATTGCTTTATCGATCTTCGCTTCGTTAGGTTTAGGGGAGTTTACCCCCTTTGGCCCAGAGATAACGAGATCTAATCTCGTTTCTCTTTTCGCAGGAGACGGATTCGAAAGATAGACTTTTCTTGGGAATTTTGTCCCTCGCTCGCACTTTGACTTGAGTCAAAAAGTTAAATATAATAATAATTTTATTATGCATTAAATGTGTTTTGTCGGATTCACGAAAAGTAAGTTTTCCTTGAGAAGAAAGTAAGTAAGTAATTTCTGAACAACACTTTATCGATCGATTTTTAACCGATTCTTTAATTTCTCTCAAGTTTCGCGACCGACAAGAGATTTGCAAGGTGTGCGAAGGTGTGCAATTCCAGAGATCGCAGGAGGATTCCGTACTCCGTATTGTCCAGAAAATTGCAAGCTTTTATGCTACGAAACCTTCAAGTGAAGGATCTAGATCTCGGTAAAGAGTTAATAAAATAACCGACCGACTTATCATTGCGTGACGCATCAATTGCAATTCGGGGGGGCACGGTACGGTAAATCGACCGGGATTTGAGGCTCATTAGCGAGACGTGGTATATATCGGAAGAAACGTGGCGGAGCGGCGGGCTCGAAAGTACGAGCTTCCGGCTCTGTTCTTCAGCGCGACGACGGAGAGTCGCCACGATTGCTCGCTTCTTGCATAAAGTGGGGGCCGAAGGTGTACACGGGCGCGGCGGTATCGGTTCCGAGAAAGGCTTATCAGCCTGCGGATATGTTAATGGCGCCCGTGTTGCCTCCCCCCGAGCCCCCCCTCCTCTCCCGCTGCCTCTTCGAGATATATTGCACCCCAACCGTCGCGCGACGGAGGTGGTTGGTTGGTCGCTCGTAAAAGCGGCAGTCGTCGTAGGTGCACCAGCCGAGGTAAGCAGCCCCCGTGTGCATGCACGTGCAATTAAGAGTACTCGAGGGGAAGGAGGGACCTGGGAGTAAATTTTGATTGGCCGTCGATATGTTAGAACGGAACTACTACATTGGAATTTCTACTACACTTGGATATTTCTTCGTGAGATTTATCTCGCGCTGAAAAAAATGTTTTCCTTCGTCGTTGAGAAATCGGGGGGGGAGGGGGGGGAGGGGGGTTTATTCCCAAACTCGAAAATCTCCCGGAGTTAGGGAATGAATTTTTAAATTCTCTCTTCCTTAATTCTCTTCCGCATTTAGATTTTACTTGGAAATATATTGCGTCTCTTGCATTACAATTTCTTCAGTTTGTATTTTTTAAAAATTAAGGATTTTTGCTCAAATTTTAGATTTTGGAACGTTTATTGGAACTTTTCAATATTTAGAAACTAACAAATATTTGAATATTTTCTTCTACTTTCGAAGAAGATTCTTCGGATAATGAAATTCGGACTATTACAAAGCCGCCCAAATCCACAGTGTACGACTATTGTACTCTGGAATTTTCGTGGTGAACGTGGTAGGATTATCGAACAGCCAGATTCTCGGATCTCACGGGCCGATCGTGAGTCCAATCCACGCCGGGAGATCATCTCAAAATCTCTCGCTCGATAATAGAACCCCGGGGAGGAAAGGAAACCAACCGTGCGAGATAAGAGGGCTTATCTGCGACCTTTATCGCACACCTCTGGCTTCAATCATAAGATAGAGAGATCTATCCACGGCCTTCTCTCTACCGTATATATACCTCTCCTCTCCAATCGTACATCTCGAGATCACGAGAAGGAGGAGGAGGAGGAGGAGGAGGAAGGAGGAAGGAGGAAGATGAAGAGATAGAAAAATAAAGAAAAAGCGGTCGGAGGTCGCGTATGAACTGAACGTTCGCCAGCAATCGTCGTTGGCGAACGTATGCATGGCTGTGCAATTAAGGCTCGCGATCGCATTCTCTCGTTCCCGAGAGAGGGACGGAAATAGACCGTAGGAGAGAAAAAGGGAGGCTGCCACGCCATGCCATGCCACGCCACGCCACGCCACGCCACGCCACGCCATGCCACGCCGTGCTACGGCCGATTCATCGATGACCGCTTATTTACAGAGAAGCAGAGAGGAAGGAACACGACCCGAGTGTAGATGCGAGTGCGGGATAGCCCACGAGGCGCGCTCTGCAACCCTTTGGCCAATCTCCCCAAGCATCTTACTCTCCGAGTCCTCCCTCGCCTCGCGGCTCCCCCCCCTCCTCTGTCACTCTCCCAGCGTCTGTTCCTTCTCCTCGCCCGAGGAGGCAATTAAAGCATCCGGGTAATTCTCGAGTCTCGATCTCTCGCGACGACGAACCACCTGGTGGATCGTCCGGTCTCTCCTCGAGGTCTCCTCGAGGATCTCGATCGAAAAAAGAATGTCTTGAGACTTGAGTGAAATGTATATGTACGAGATCGCTTATATTAAATTCTCGTCGTCGTAAAATATCGTATCGATATTATGTGATCGATAATATAGAGAGTGATCAATCATTTCTCTGATCGTAATTATTTAACGATTAAAATACACTTGCAAAGTTGAACAATTAAAGGAGCGCAGTCCCCAATAAGTTGAGCTTAAATTTCCTCTCGATATCAATTTTCTCTCTGGAATATTTCTTCCTAATTATATAGTACTTAATTAAATTCAATTCAATTTCTCTCTACATTAATGTTAATTGGATTAACATTAATCAAGTATTTTTTTTTTCTTAAATACATATAAATTCTAATAAATTCCTAAATATTATTTTAGCAATTTTAATTAATTTTCTTAGAGCCCTCATCGTCTTTCTTTCGTCGTAACCCTTAAACTCTCTACTCAATGATCCATTACGCACACTCATTGAGCAACCCTTAGATACTGAACTATTCGACAGGCTACGTGCGAGCAAGCCGAGCGCGACCCCTGAGGTGAGGGGGTGGGAGGCAGCGTGCGAAGGGTACAATTGGTGGTTGTGCCAGACGGGGATAGATCAAACTGGCGGGAGAGTAGGGAACGTAGGGTACGCAAAGATCGCTGTATCGAGAGTCCATTAGACATTTTAGCTCGGGACACCCGGAGAGCGGTTTCTCTCATCTCTTGATATTTCGTGCAGCTTCCTTCCGGTCCAGCGACGTCGTTATGGTCGTTTCGCGGGCTACTTTCAATCGGCACTGGCGGTTTCTGAAAAAATGTATAGTTGTCTCTCTGTGTTACGTCATTTATTTTTGTAGATTTAAATTTCCGAAAATCGAAGAGTTTGGACTAACTAAGTGGACAGGTCCATAATTTTTAAGATCCGCACTTAATTAATGATCATCTGACTAAAAAGTGTACTTTGTATAAATTATGGATGTGGCTTATTTTGAGCCGACTCCGACTTGTCTTCAAATCCAAATGTCACGAGACTTGAGTGTCCAGCTCTTAGGAGATCTTGTAATTTTATGATAATTGGTAATTTAAAAGACTCGATATTTCTTCCGTAAAATTTCGCGTTCTTGGAGCCTTATAATTCTAAAATTAAATAACAATTTAATTAGTCGAGATAATATAGCAAGTTAATTTATCTTATATGTAAAAACTTTTATTTATTTTTCAATGGCGTGGAAAATGCCAATTAATGAAAAAAAAAAAAAATTCTCTTTTTTCTTGGTTTCAGGGGAGGATGAGGAGTGGAGTGATTCAGAGAAGACCCCGTCGGTGAGCAGCGGCGTGGACGGTGGCGGATCAACGGTATCGAGTCCGGTCGCACCACCGGTGATCGAAGAGGACTCGAGTTTACCGCCCCCACCGAGACTTAACCCTGCGTCGTCCTCGACTAGCTCCTCCGCCAGCGAGGATATCAAACTGCGACTTAGCGTGCTGTCGGAGGACACGAGGAAGTGCCTGGCTAGTCTCACCGAGGATATCGAGGTGCGTTGACTTGATTAATTTCAAGTAACCCAATCTTAATTAATTTAATCTTAATTAATCTTTTTAAAGCTTTCTTTAAAAGTTTACGATACAAAAATATATATAGTGATCCTTAAAAATTAAAAATTTTAGAAACAATTTTGACTTTGCATTGCAAGTTCGATTTTTCGATTTGTGAATGGAATGAAACTTCTTCTTCACTAAGAGAAACGTAAAAGAGACGCACGCTGCATGTGAAACAGGCTAGGGGGATAAGAGACCGCCATGCGCCGTCCAGAAACGTACGGACACGGGAGTCGAGTCCCAAAGACGTCGACGAAGAGCAACCGACAACCGCCAAGGAGGACGTCGAATGTCAGCCGAGACCGTCGTCCTCGACGTCGTCCGTCGCTGCCAAAAGGCGGGACTCCGTCTGCCGCAGAGATTCGGAGGACTCGGTCGCCGCGGGAGAGACCAAGAGGATACGACTCGACGACGAGGCAGCACCAAGACTGAGACTCAATGCTAGTCTGGCGACGGATCCCGCCCTGCGACCCGCCGCCGTCGCCGCTCTCACTGTGAAGCCAGAGAACACGTCACCGCCGAATCCGACACCGTCGCTTCCGGCCGGTCTGCAGAACGGTGAGAATCTTAGAGATAATTGCACGCGTGCACGTGGTACTTTCATTCGGAAACGGGTGGTTGAGGAATCAGTTTTTGAATAGACAAGTCTTTAACCCGATTTTCCAATTTTCCAATTTACAATGTAACTGCACCAAAGAGGGTTGCAGGTTATTTTACAGTGAGCGAGAAACGATTGATTTTAGAAATTTTCTTTAAAAGACTTGCAATCTGTGAACAATCAATACAAATTCAAATGAATCGTAAGACTAAAATTTTTCTAAAAGAAGATTATA